CCCCAAAACCCCAAAACCCCAAAACCCCGAGGAGATAATAAGATGATTTTATTTTGAAATATTAATTTAGAAATCGCAAATATTAATAACTTACGAAATGAATTCATAACAAACTTAGTAAAATATAGCTGTGCCATCTCTTAATTTGTTAAAAGTGCAAAAGTTTAAAGATAAACAGGATGTCATCAAAGATATCATAGCTTAAGATAAGATGGGAGATAAAAATGTTAAAAAAGAGGGGTAAAGAGAACAATTTTACAAACCAAATGCTAAATCAATGGCATTACAGCATTCTCTTGATAACTAAACTCATTCACCCAAGAACAGTAGTTTTACTAAGGCTGAAATTCAAGCAGCTGCTTAGGTCCATGAAGAGTATCCAAGGCTTTTTAAGAAAAAATAGGCATTATAAGAACTTAGAGAGATTCAAAAAGAAGTAGCAAAATGTAAAAAGCCAATTATCATGAATAAAAATTCAAGTTCACAAAACATAAATGTGTCTAGGTAGCTCGGAAAGCATTAGAAGCGTGACTCTTAAAATCAGGGTATTTTTAAAAATGAAATCAGTTAGCAATAGATTTAATAATCCACTCATCAAAATCTTAATGGCTTATCTATAAATGAGATTGAAAAGAGATTCCAATAATAAATCTCAGTAATGGAGCATGAATATGATATAGATGGAGAGACAGCAGCCAACTCAGCAAACCAGTATCCTACCTAAAAGCTGCAAAGTCATCTTAAAGATCTTGCTCAACTATAAAACGATCTTAACAGACTTAATAATGATTAAAAGCTATCGAAGAATAACTTTGAGAAAATGAAGATGTTTTTCAAAAGAAATAATACCAGATCGCGTTTAAAGTAAAGAGGTGGACCTCATGATGAAGAAGCATCTGATGTTAACAATAAAAGTTCAAAACGAAACAAGAATAAGAGTAGTTCTTTTGACTATTACAATGACGAATCTAAACGAAGTGGTAATTCATAGGATTATTCTGAGATTCAGAGTAATTTAGGCCCAAAAGAGGGGCAAACCCATCATAAGAATTAAAGCACAAAACATCTAACCAATTAAAGAAATAACATAGAAAAACATGTTAAGACCAAATGCTAATTTGAAACTTAGAAGTACGATACTAGTCTCAATGATTTGTCAGTTGTCTAGTAAAGATTAAAAAAAGAATGCAAAGGAGACTTGGGAATCGTAAATCCGATGAAGGCTTTTAGTATCTTGAATATGATTTAAAAAGAAGATTGCCCAGAGGCCTATGAGCCCGAAATTGTGACACTACATAAATAAAAATTGCTTGAAAAATAAAGAATAGAAGAGTATAATAATGATGTTGATAAGACCTTGTTCGACTTTGATGATGACATAGATAAATTAAGTAATGTTTCAGAAAGATATTAGGTTTAGGGATTTTATTTAGTCGAGGATCCATAAGTTAATAATAAGACTATATAAGAAAGTAAACAAGAAAATTCCTTATAGACTGATGAGCAATCAAAGTATAAATAAAGAAAAAAGAAAACTAAGGATGTTAATTTTGAGATCGATCAAGTTAAAGCTGAAATGATAAAAGATTTATCGTACTACAATAAAAATAAGAGAGATGATTCTGATTCACCAAGATAGGACAATTTTAAAAATAGTAAGCCAGCAAACTAAAATTAGGGTTTCAATATCAAAAGCCGCAAAAATGAAAATGATAGAATAATTAGTAGCATAAAGTAACAGCGAAGGAATGTGTTTAATCATCAACCATTGTATGATGAGCCTCTAAACAAATCCTACAGCAGAAAAAACAGAGCATCTTAAGGGATGAGCCAAGGTCTAAATAGGTACAAGCCAAATATAAATAGGGATTTAGGAAATTTATAAGAAAGAGTTGCTACAAGTGCTGCGCCTAAAGAAAGAAATTTAAATGATCAGTTATCATCATTCAAGAAAGATGCAATGAATTTTCCTCCAAGTAACATTAAAAGCGACATAAATGTTTTCAAGCAGAAGAATGAAAGACCTCAGATTCCATCTACTCTTGAAAGACCTGGTGCCTGTGTGATTAAAGATATATACGGATAAATGTCCAAAATGAATTATGAGAGTCATTTCAAGAATACAATGATGATACTAGACTAATAATCATAATTTTCTAGACCATTAACTTCTAATAACAGAATCAACACAAACAAGCAAAATTTATTCAACTAAAATAGCTCAATCATTCAAAGTGGGAATGATCTTTAACTAACTAATATATTAAATTAAAGACCCAAGAATCAGATCCCCTTTTAAAATCTCAACCCTGCCTTTTCTGAGGTTGCTTTGAATAACAGTCTTAATTAGTATCAATATTAGTAGCAAAATAACAGTGCTTATGTGGCCAGTAAAAAGGGAACGTTATACCCTGGAATCACAGCCAATCATAAGCATATTGATAGGATTGAAAAGTATTTTTGCTCCAACATATAAAAAAAGACTACCTAATTATAAAGCTAAGCCGAGTAGCAAAAAAAGTAACTCCAGCATCTAAAGTTTCAATAATCCAAACTGATAGGGACATCTATTAATTTAGGGGACAATGTGCCTTTGACATCATTAAATACAGTCACTCATTTAGGTAGCATTTCTAGTAAAAGGCGACTTCATTAGCATGAATTATTCATTTGAGTATTTTATAGAGCAGAAATCAATAGTTTAAAGATTGTGAATTGCTGCTAATGAAATATGAGAGCTTTAATATGAATGATTTATAGATGTTAAATAATTGAATTAGTATATTATAAATAAGCACTTTACAACAATATTTTATTTAATTAACTTTTAATAATTTATTTAGCAAAAGGTTACATTTTTCATGGTAAGAACTTCGAACTGACTTTATATCTTCAATTAAAAATATGGCTATCCGCTATTTCATTTAGTTTAATCATTAAATTTAGAGTAGGAGAGGTTCAACTTTGAGGAGGTCAAATAGTTTTGCAGAAAAGTCTATTTATTAACCAATCCAGTACACCCCAATGAGAAATAGAAAGAACATGCTTGAAAAATCATCAACATAAAAATCTAGTTTAAACAATTCATGCACGATGAAGAATCTGAGAAATGACTATGTCAAGCCAGTCAGTACATTTGGAGTAATAATTAAAGCTCTTAACTATATTTTAAAGTGCTCTAAACGAGCTTTTAACTGGGAAATGTACAGCTCTGAATAATAAGAAGCAAGAACGCTTAAATCAATGCGTTCAAGTTTAAAAAATGAAAATAAAAAGGGTTAACAACAAAGTAGAAACGAGCCAGTAAAGGCTTTTACTAATACAGTTTAAAATGAATATGGGGAGAACAGACTTACCATTGATGAAGACATCAAAGTTAATCCTAAGAAAAAATAAGAGTCATTCCTTAAAAGAGTTAGAAATGGCTCAGGACCTCCATCATCAGTAGCTTCTCTTCATTCAACTATAAGTTTCAGAGATGAATATGTAGAACCAAAAGTAAGATCCTTGATTTGAATTAATTTTCATTAAAATTTAGCTAAATACATTAGGTGTAGAGAGCACCAAGAAACTCTATGGCTAGGGTGAATTCAATATATTCTCTGGGTAAACATTAGATGAAAGGTATTAAAATCGCTATGGCTTTGCTCCCTAGCCCAAGAAAGATCCTAGCCTTAAATAACTTAATACAAAACTCATGAAAAAGTTGCATGGTCAAGGAGAATTCGATCCATTAAGTGGGAAGACATATGATGAAAGATACAAAGAAAGATATGCTGCTCCACATAGTGCATCAACTCAAGAAAAAAATCTTCCATAGAAACAGTAATCAGAAAAGTACAATAGTAATAATATGAAACAGGTACTGAGTAGCTAATCTAATGCCATACCTAAGGCGTCTCAAATTAGTGAGAAACCGAACAGGGCAAATAGCTAGAATTTATCAAGTAGGCTTACTATCAAGCCTAATTTTAAACAGCTCCAACTAGATTAAATAAACTCACTTAAAACTGATATCTCAATGAAGAATGTTGCTACATTGTGAGAGAGGAAAAAATTTTTGATAGTGATATTTAGCAACGAATTATATTAAGGTTTGTTTTAACTTAAAAATTAAAATTCGTAAATTATTATATCGCAATTTTTAGATAGGTTATGATATGTTTAAGTTATTTAAGAATATGTATCAGAATCGTCCATATTTCATCGTCTTGATTAGTCATTATTAGTTACAGCCTTTCTAGGTAGCTATGGCAAACATTTAATTAATTTCCTCAAATTTCTTCCTAGATTTTTATTTAGGGTCATCTTCAAATTCACTCATATTATCATCATAGTTCATCAATTCTGTGCTATCTAGGCCTAAGTTATCACCTTCTGAGCCTAAATCCTTGACAACTCCCATAGCTCCAAGGTAGTATTCAAGAGCTAAAGGAATTAACTGATCCTTAAATGCCAGACCATAATCATAATCTTATTCCATTCTTTCCCTCATTTCTTCCTCTTATTCCAATGTCATTGATTTAGCCTAACCGCTTGATAAAGGTTTTTTATGTTTAAAGAATTAGAAGAAGCTCTCCAAATTTTAGTTTACTTTCTTAGATTCTACCATCATAGTAAGTTTTTTTTAGAGTACCTGCTTTAGTAAACTACCTGCTCTTTGTGGATTTTAGCTCCAGTAAATGCTACACCCCTCAACCTCATCAATGATGTTAGACTTTCTCATGTAGTACTTCTTGTATAGTGTTGAATCCTTGAAATAAGGATTTGGATCGAAACGGAAAGTTAAATCAAAGCCTTAGTCATTTGAATGTAGCTTAGTCTCTATGTGCCTAAGATACATTAATTAATCTTTATCACTCTCAGTCACGATCTTGCTTATTTTAGGGTGATTTTTCATGGCTTGGTACCAAAATCCTTTTACACCAGATGGCCCTTACGATTGCAAAAGTCTTATATCTAAAGCATCTACCTTCATCAAGAAGTAATTAGAATCCTATAACTCGATAGATCTTTTTTCGTAATCATCTAGAATATAATCAGATTCAATTATTTCCCCTGATAAAACATCCTCCCTATAATAATTCATGTAAGCTATTTTAATAACATTAAGCATGTCGTTATTTTATTAAAGATGAATATTACCTTTCATCATAGATATCAGACATTCTCAATTCAAATTTTCTTTCAAGTTCTCTGTACTACTGTTCCATCTCGTATTCAAGTTCTCTTTCTTTATCCTAATAATTGATTTTAGAGAGTGCAAATGTACAAAAATAATATATTGACAATGAAAAATATTTCATTGCTAGTTTTCTATATGATTTTAGTCTTGTCTTTTACTTACATATAAAGCCTTCAAAGCTTTAAATCGATTCTATACTTCCTAAGGCATTTTAACAATCATATCAGACATTATTTTGCTGTACTAAATCTATCCAGAATCTTGTTTAAGTGGTTCTGTCCTGTATTTTGAACTAAGAAGTCTACTTGTATTAGATTTATTCATCAATCTCTTTATTGGAGAAAACTTATATAAATTTATAATTTAAAGTTTATCAAAGTTTATTGTTTCTACTCAATAAATTAGCCACACAAACTAATCAAAATATAAATGAAAGCACTTTAAATTTACAAAAATATCATCACATCTTCTCGCAACTCCAATACTTATTTTAAAGGAGTGAGATACTTTGGTAAATAAAATTAGAAGTAATAAAGTGAGCAGTACACAAAATTCTAAGGCCAATTTTTCAAGGAGTAGGAGTAATAATCAAGAGATATGGAGATGATGACCTTGCTTTAAATGTTGAATATGAAGAAAGTAGATTTCAAGGAGAAATTTATCAGGTCTCAGCGAATGGCTAACAATGAATTAACTGAGGAAGAACTTTAAAAGCTAAGAGATGAGGAAGAAGTCATTAAGTAGAAAGTTGCTACGGCAGAGAAATCTAAGACCTATGTGAATTTATTCAATAAAGGAGCCCTTAAACTCATTGCAAAAAGTAAGTCCAATTTGTAAACAATTCTTTACATTATATCCCAGGCATATTATTCTAGTTTAATACAATAGAAATACTTACATACTTATTCATTTAGCTCCGAGCAGTATTTTGAGTGAACTAGCAATAAGAGTATTTACAGGAAGCAGAGATGTTCCAAAAGACGGTTTAAAAGCAATAAGCTTATTTGAATTTTCAGATTAAAATGCTTAAACTGTAAAGGACAAGTAAAACGTCGAGTACTATAAGTTATTGGTTAGAAAATATAAGATACATTAAGATACAATGATGAGTGGTAAGTATTGACTATTATTACCTCATTATAGGAGTCTAGATGAATGAAGATTAATAGGAAGAAATGACTGAAATAAATCAGAAGTTAAATGAATTAGCTACAAGTGGAAATTCATAGGCTTAGTATACTTATGGAAAAGAACTCCTTAGTCTTTTAAGAAACTAATCTTTTGTTAATAAAAAGGAAGAAAAGTAATTCCTTTAATACACTTATGAGAAGTAAGTTATTGCTAAAGTTTATTAATGATTAAATTAGCTTGAATAATGCTGCAAATAAAGGTGTTAACTCAGCATATTTCTATTTAGGCATGATGTATATGGATGGTCTTTATGTTTAAAAAGATTAAGACAAGGCTCTTGAATGCTATATAAAAGGAGCAGCAAAGAACAATGCTTATTGCTTCTTTGAACTTTCAAGAATATACTCTGAGGGATAGGTAGTTGATAGAGATCCTAAACTTTAGTTCTTATATCTTAAAAGATCTGCTGAGGAGGGGTTTGTTACCGCTTAACACTTACTTGGAATAGCTTATCATGAGGGAAAAATAACTAGGAAAAATGATTACCTTGCCCTTGCTTGGTTTAGAGAGTCAATTAGAAATGGAAATATCATATCATACTTAAATGCTGCTGATCTTTTATTCGAAGGAGGAGTTGAATTAAAGTAAAATAGATTGTTTGCATTAGTAAATTACCTTGGAGCATATTAGAACGGAGCAGTATTTTTAAAGGAAAGACTGGAATAAGTAGTTAAGGAAATAAATGAACATGATAAAGACAAGATACCAGAGTTTAGCTTTGTTGATTTACCTCCAGAGATTAGGTAACAGTACTAAAAGCCTAGTAGCTAGATTTGAGTGTTAGAAAGCTATTAGTTGTGATATTTAAAATGATTATGAAATTAATGCTAGAAGTAAATTATCAATCATCCTTTTTGACTTCACATTCTTAATTTCATTATGCTGCCTATAATAATTCCAAAGCTTTTCTCGCAGCAATTTCTTATCTTTTTTCATCAACGCAAGTTTAGAATGCTTGAATAAAGGATTGGCATTCATCCTCAGCATTATTTTTTAGGCAGTTATCCTTCATCACTCTAATTTATCTGCAAGCACAGCAGACACCTTGGCATTTATGACCAGTTGGTCTTGGAGATGGTTATACTACAGCCTGTACAGATTCCATTTAGATTTGATTCTAGGTCAATAAATTATTATTACTATTTTAAGACTATAAATCACTTTAAATCGACATTATTTTACCATCAGGGGTTTTGGGGTTTTGGGG